CTGAGATCACCATTCTCCGCTCCCAGTCTTCTTTCTCACCCTCAAACCACAGCTTCACCCCTGTATTAAGCTCGAAATAAGTTCACCATCACATCGACAGAGACAAGAAACTGCTGCAACCCCTCCGCAAAGGCCATCCAACCTTGTTTCTTCTTCCCTTCCGGTAAGCAAAGCAATTGTCTTCTTGCGTCGAAATATTCTGTGACCATGATGAACCAGCCTTTACCATTGCATCTCAGTTCCACTTCGTACCTCTTCTTTCCCAGTTCGAAGACATTTTTCCATCCTATTGTCCTAACTGATTGTATAACACCATCAATAAAGCCCTTTAACCATGCCACTCCTTCCTCAAACAATAGTATCATGGCCTTCCTATCCTCCCTAATTTTTAACAGGTTCTTTCCTCTGGCCCTTCCGCTCTCAAATAAAAATTTCTTCACTTCAATAATCAGTTCAGACTTCCATCTACTCACCAAATGAAAAACTTCTCCACTTCAGCTTCCCATCAGTTCAGTCTTTAGTTCCAATCCACTAGACTTTTCTTGCCTTGAGAACCATGCCTTTTCCAGGTTTGCTTACCTCTGAAGATGTGTTTTCTATGTGTAGTGCAGTAATCATTCACTGCTAATTAAAACAAAAGAGAACATGTTTTGATGATGACACAAGGCAAAAAAATGATTCATCTATATCAACACTCAATAACCATGAACCAACTCACCAACTAAAGATAAGTGAAACCAACAAAAGAGGATCTGAAAACCATTGCCTTCTAGGATTCCGATGCATTGGACTATTGAGATCTGATGGTGAAATATACCATGAGTGAACAGGCACACAAGTGAAACCCACAAATGTATTTCTATTTACAAGTGTGATATAAATATATTAGAATTTATAATAAATCAGAATTAAAAATAAGAAAAGAAAATATCAGATAACCTTGTAAAAACATCAAAATGCATAATAAATCAGTAAATCGTCATTTACTAATTTGTTATTGATCTTAGTTTCTTAGCTTTATATAATGGTTGGTAATAAGATAATAGTCTAGAAGTATGTATTAATGCTTCTTTTATCATTTTACAAAATATCTTTGCATATTTCCACATATTTCATAATATTTCCACAATGTCTCTAATTTTTACAATATTCCCCCTCGACATTTTCGACATATGTCCTATATTTTGGTAAGTGACATTTCCATCGACATCGACATTTTAAACCTTGTTGATAACAACTAACTGCTCACTAGCGGCTTTCTCATCAGTTGCACTCCTGTCACTATCTGGAACTATGGCTACATTGGCATTCCCAGTCTTCCCATTTTTTGCCTTCTTTTTAAAACAAGGTGGAAAAAGGTTTGGATGCTGTTAACATGTATCCTTGGTATGTCTCGGCTTCTTGCAATATTCACATATAACCTCTTCTTACCTACAGCCACCTTAGGTTTCACCACCATATTAGCAAAATGGTCAACTAGAATTGCCCCTTGAACCTGAACCAACCTCCTACTCTCCTCACTGCTCACCATGGCATAAGCCTGAGACAAAAATACATTGTCTTTAGCTAGGATATTCTGCCTGGTAGTGTCAAATTCTGGATTCAACCTTATCAGGAATTCAAAGACTCTATTCCTCTCAACTAATTTCCTATATGTTTTTGTGTCCTTTGTACTTTCCCAGACAACAGTTTCCATGAGATCAAGGATTTCAGCATTGAGAAATAGATTGCTAAAGGTCTCTCCCACACCTCAGATTGTTCACATCACTTCTTAACTTATATGATTTGGCCACATTCAATTTTTGTGAATAGGTTTCAGCAACACTGTCCCATATTTCCTTAGCAGAATTCATCCACAGATAGTGCTGACTAATTTGGGGTTGCATCGAATTCACTAACCACCTAATAATAGTGTAATTCTCTTGCAACCATTTTTCAAGAGATGGGTCATCCTCCCTTGGTGCTTTCTTGCTACCAGAAATATATCCCCACTTGCCTCTACTACAAACATATATCTTTACTGACTGTGACCATGCTAGATAGTTAGTCCCATCAAGCTTGATTGTAGTCACAGCCAATAAAGAGTCTACAGGTGCTCTCAGAACCTGTCCAGACTATGAGCACAACTTATTTTCAACTCTAGAACCATCCATCTTCCTCAAAAAATCCCAAAACAATTTTCAGATGACAAATAAGGAAGACAGAAAAGAAAAACACCCAACACCAACCTTCATAGATCCCCAACAACACAACTACGCCTTACCCGGTACCTGGGAGAAACTGAGAAATAGCAGCCGCTCCTTGTAGGCTTCACAGAACTGAAATCTGCTTGGATCGATCTTCAAGAGAACCAAAAAGGACCCCTTCAACCACTGAGAGCCAAGGTGAAGCCTCTTGTGGGACCCACAATTAGAAATCTCCAATTGATTAGGGTTTTCGGGAAAAATTCCAAAAAAATGTTTGAAAGGTGAACAAAGTATCTTCTTTTCTCCAAGAAACCACAACCAACCGGGCCGAATATCTTCTTCAATCAATCATTAATTCAATTCTCCATACACATTGTGTATGGGATTAAAAGGAAGAGAAAAAAGGAAAAGGAACCTGGCTCTGATACCAAGAAGAAAAACCATCCCCAATAAAGAAATAAGAAGCCTGATTAAAAAAACGTGGAGAAACAAAAAGAAAACAGCAAAAGAAGAAGAAGAAGAAGAGAATGATTGAGGAGAAAGGGGTGAAAGAGATGAGTTGTTCGTACACTCTCTCCTTTCCCTAACCCTTTTCATTAAAAGATTAATCACTAATAATCAGAAATTACAAGTAAGCCCTTAGTGGGGCGGCTAGCTAATTAAAACATAAGATGCTAATGCTAACAGGCTCATAAGAAAAGGACCATTAACAAAACAGAACATAAACACAAAAAAAAATAAAAACACAATTGTGGGCTATGGGCCATTCGGCCCATCTTCTCTACAGAACCACATTTCCTAATGTCCCATTTGTTGGAGAAAATTTAGACATGCAATAGCAGCTTGGCAAGTCAAATCTCAATGACAAGACAGCAAGTAGAAGACTCACAAGACTCATTTTTCCAGAGGTTGAAAATATATTCATTACCATTAAAATTGGTGGTGGAGTGGCTCAATGACCCAGACTATAATTTGATGTAATAGGAATGAGATAAAGAAGTTCAAATGGCTCACTAGAAATATGAGTTTGGGAGTACAATGGATGAGATTAATAAAATTTCTTTTTGAGGGATGTTTGTAATGCTAATTTCAAGTGATTAATAAAATTTCTTTTTACTCGTTTAAAAAAATGCATTCATTACCATAACTGTAATCAAATGCATGCATATGCAATAATTTCATTTTTGAGGTTGGAACAACTCATACCATAAGATTAGATCACTAATTTCTACAAGATTACACCTGTTTAAGTAACCTACAATAACTAAGAATAGGCTCCAAAGCTGAATTCTCAATGATGTCTAGCTATAGAGTAACAAATGCTAGAACTGTACAGCAGCACAGATCAGAAAATAGTGTTTTTTTAGACAGATAATCAAATATATTTAACAAAAAGAGTATAAAGGATGTATAAACCAAGGCAAAGCAGAAAGAGTGGTTTACAAGGGAGAACAACCCAGCTGAAGGCAGAGATTGTGGCAAGCAAGAAGGAAAAGATGAAATGGCCAAAAAACATAAGGAGCCTACCCTTCTATACACCCATACCCATGAATGCATGAAAAAACCAAAAATCAGTACACAATCAAACAAAAGGAACACTACTAAAAATGACAATAAACCACTACTCCTATGCACCAGCACAACAAAGAGTAACCAAGCTTTTTTTTAGAGTAAAAAGAGAAACCAAGCTATCCCCAGAAAGAAAACAGCCAAAGATAATGCTTGTCAAGAGAAACCAAAAATCAGTAGACAATAAAAAGGAAAAGCCAGCAATAACGAACACCTCCCAAAAAGCCAAAACCAGTGCAATGCTTGTCTCCTTAAACTCTCCTTTGCCTCTTCCTCCATCACTTTCCATGCCACCCCTTTTAACATCTTATAAAGCTCTAACTCTGGCACATATGGTTCATCTATATCCCACTTATAGCCTACCAATGCCCCTTGTAGAGAAAGAAAGAGAAGAATTTTCTAAGTAAAGAGTAGGGCTGTAATCAGATTGGACTCGGATTGGATTCAGAAAAATCTGCACCCGATCCGATTACTGAAAACCTGCATTCATATCCAATCAGATTTATATAAATTCATATAATATATAGAATATATTTTTATAATTTTAAATATAATTATTTAAATTGTATATATTAAAATTAGATACTGATTTTAATCGGATCAGATGGGGTCAAATCCGAATCCGATCCGATTACTAATCAGATGCAGATTGCAACATCCGAATCCGATCCAATTACATAAATGCATCATCCAAATCTGAGATAATCACATCAGGCCTCGGATTTTTGGGTATCATTGACAGGCCTAGTAAAGAGAAGAAGAAAACACAGATTACGTATTTACTGATACCCGTTTCCACATTTTAGATTGGCTGCTAGTACATCCTGAGCTTCAACTTTCAAGATATTGTAGCTATAACATTTCCCAAGGCGAGTCAAGCAGTGTAACTCTACCCCCTAATGCTCCTGTCTCTTTCATCTTTTTCTTCTCTTTTTTTTCTTTCTTTGTCACTCTTTCTATGTTCAAAAACACAATTAAGTCCCCCTGAATCTGAAGCTAGACCCTGCCATATCATATTCACATTGTTTCATGGTTGATTCTAATGTATAATTTCTTTGTTTTTGTAAATAGGTTTATGCCCTTTTATACAGTTCTCACATTAATTAACACTTTTCAATCTATCAAAAAATTTACAAAAACTATCAAGCAGGAGGGAGGGGGAAAAGAGAGAACAATTTGATAACCATTTCCATGTTATCAACCAAAAGGAAACTGGAAAGAGAGAAAAGGAAAGCCAATACTTACAACTTGAAGTAACAACATTTTGATAATAATTCCATGGGACTGGACGTTGAACCATTTCTCCTCCATCTTTTACAAGAGGTAAAGATCCTGGTCTTGGGATAGAACCTATCTGAGTGCCACCAGTCTTGTCCCATGAAAAATGAGCACCACACCAATACTTTAAATACCAATGCAGACCGGATGTAATTTCAACTGCTGTGGTGCCTTGAATCCTGATAGAAAAAATAAATAAAAAACATCAAATGTCGTCAAAGTTGTTACCAACCTGAACAAATTCTGAATGTATTATGGAGCATATGGTTTCATGTTTGCCTTAATAAATACCACAAAAAAATACTAAAGCATATCTGAGGTCATAAGACAAGCTAGAAATAAAACAGATTTAGTACTTTCAACCACCCATGTTGTTCTTCAGAGAGTTATGACCTACAGGTGATGTTCAAAAGATTGGACATTAACTCGAAGCTTGTAACATCCAATGTTCAACTACAGCATGTAATAAAAATCCGACCAATTTTTTCTAGAAAATAACCAAGTTAATCAGAAGAATGTGAGATTAGCACCAAACTGAGTCAGATTGACCAGGTTCCAGGTTAGCATAGCCACTTCCAATTATAGATTTAGTGATTTAATTACTTTAGATATGAATTGAGAGAGAGATTACCACATTCATTCATAGAAAAAGGCAACAAATTAATATACATAAACAGAATAAATGAAAAATGTGCAACTGTAGAAGCTCTAATACATTGATCTGTACGCAGATCCTTTAAAGCTATGAATTTTCAGTCCATCAGTGTCTTCAATACTCATTTACTTTTTTTTATTTTCAGCAATAATAATCAAAAATACTTCATAAGGAAATAAGAGAAAGTAGAACACAGACACAGACACACAAGATGGGCATCATACAAAGAGCAACGAGTCAATTACAGGTACACAACAAAAAGCATGATATTCATGTGCTCCACAAGTTTTTTTTTTTTTTTGACTTTCTTCTCTTAATTAGGATCTTTTTTTGCAAAAAAAAATTGAGGTCACTTTAGATATAGGTTTTAGTATTTAATTTCTTGTTTACTTTCTTTGGTTGTACAAGGTGACAAGTATGTGAATGCTCACAATGCCAAAGCAGGTAACTATGAGCAAAATGTTCTGATCTCATTTCAAGGGAGTTGCTTTCACAAGAAGAAACATCTCACCGTAAGAATATATATATAGTCAATTCAGTTTTTCAAAATTGAAAAGACTTTAATAATTTAATTGAGAACTCTTTCAACTTTCTTTGATTGTATGATGCTTCCTTTCTCTAGAGGTGTGTCCTATAAACCCAGACTGACACTACAATGTCCTCAATTTTCTCTTTCATCTTACTCTAATACCCTCTCATCTGTTTCTTTGTGATTGAAAAATTTTTTGATAGGTACAAGTAATTCTGTATGTTTACACATCACACAGTAAATTCATGAGGATATCTCATTGAACATCACTTTTTCAGTTGGAAAGATGCTTAGGGAGTATCAGAACATCAAAAACAGAAATTAGAAGACAGTACATTCTCTAATTCTCAGAAAACCTCAAAGCCATACATTGTAACAATAAGTAAAAAATCAGAACAATATTTCATTTCGAAACAAAAAGAAGATACATACAAAATCTCCGGTCCATTGCTGTTTGAAGGATCGAAATTTTTTATCCAGAAGCAACTGTAACCTCCACAAGCATCCTGAAATAGAAAATTGAATAAAATCAAAATAAAAAACTATAATAGAAACACATCTCAGTAATCAACTCACATAGAAAAGCATTTCCTTGGTCTTTCTCGCCAAAAACATATCATCCCCTTGGAAGTTAGATAAAACAGCGATACAACTTCACTTAGCATCAAAACCAATTGAAGAAACGATGGAAGTTAAAGTACCTTGGGAATTATGTTAAATTCAAAACTAGACAAGTGGGTCGGCAACAATCTCTGAAGAACTGCCTTAGCTGCAGCTTCTTGGACAGACGGAGAGGCTCGTTTGCCATCAAGACGTTTCAGTAAGACCTCCATTTCTTCCATATGAGAGGAAGTTAGAGGGACCAGGATAAGAAAGACGAGAAGCAGAGGTTGCAAGGTCAACATGTTCCGATTCTTCTCCTGAACTGGAGAATGCAGAGGACAAGATTAATACTCACGACAAGACCAAACGAACAATCACTTTGGTCCTTCTTTGGCAAACATTGAGAGAATCTAGCGGAATATTTATCAGAGGCGCCAAGCTGTATGGGCCCACTCGTGCATCTCAATCAGAGTATCGCAGAGTATCGCACTGTATAATTTTTCGTATACTGATAATCATAAAACCTCCTCCCCTAAAGTTTACCAAATATCTGCAGTTACCTATGAAAATTCTAAAGTTACAAAATTGCCCTTATAACTTATGAAGGCATCATTCAATGTAATTTAAAATGCCAAATTAAATTTACTAGACATAACGTTTTCATATTTCATAACCCATAGATTTTTTTATTATAAGTGGATAATTTTTATGGGGCATTTTAATAAATTTCCATCCAAATTGATAGATACAAGGGTAAAATGGGTACTTTTGAAAAAAACAAACATTTCCATCTATGACAATAAGAAAAGGGATGTAATTGCATGTTTTTCAATACTACATTGGAGGTTTTGTGAAAGTGAAACCTCAAGGAATATTTTTAATATTGTTAAAAACATGATGGGAGGTTCTCAATGTTATATTTTATCCTAAGGGAAGGGGTGGATTCGAGTCGAGCCAAGCCGAATAGCTTCGAGCTCAGCTTGCCAAGGTAGTACGAGGTTCGAGCTAGAACCTTTAGCTCGAGCTCGACTCAAGTCAAAAGCTTGTAAGTTCGACTTGATAAAATGTTTTATAAAAATAAAAACATTATATATAAAAAAATATTTTCATTTGATATTTAAAAAATTATGAATTATAATAATTAGTTATTATTATATATAAAAATAAAAATATTGTATATATTATTTTCTATTTATTATTATTATTATTATTATTATTATTATTATTATTATTATTATTATTATTATTATTGTTGTTGTTGTTGTTGTTGTATGTATGTATGTATGTATGTAACTATTCAAGCCTAGCTCACGAGCCGAGTTATATTAGGCCCGAGCTCGGCTCGACTAATACACGAGCCTATAAGTTGGGCTCGAGCTCGACTTGAAGCTCAGTTGAAACCAATCCGAGCTGAACTTTTCACGAGTCGAGCTCAAATAGCTTGTGAAGAGCTCGACTCATAGCCACCCATACCAAAGGGCTTTAACAAATCAAAACTCCTTTGAATTTTGATAAATATTTGGTTTTTATGATAAAAGGTTGATTGGTTCTAAGTTTTTTTTTTTACGATATTTTTCTCAAATCATAGTCAAATGTTATTTCAAATTCTTTTATGATTCAATTTTAGGGTATTTAAAATTCAATATTGGGATTACAATGCCTACCATAATTTAATAATGGGTATGACACTAAATAGAACGGAATAGCGGACTATGATTCATGTAGTTGACCCCATATAGTTGGGATAAGGCTTGGACACCTATGCTTTCAAGTTGGTGTGTTTATACGAAAAAAAGTTCTTATGCATAGAGCTCTTAACTATTGATTTTTATTGTATTTTGGTTGTTTTGCCGCCTTTTAGGAATATACCTTGAGTTTGACAAAGTTTCTTAGGGGGTGTTCTGTGGTATGATATGGTTGAGAATATACCATGCTAAAGTAGTTCTATATTTTGGGCAATAATGGATAGTTTTGAACTACACCACACCCACATAGACATTCTTTAGGGTACTAGTAATTAAGCACATGTGTTGCATGTGAGAAAATTTTCTTCATATTAATTACTTGAATTTTAGATATATTACAGTTAAGATAAAAATTTAAAATTAACAAAAATAACAATATGATTAAATAACTTAAATATTTATTATTCAATTATAACATAATGGGTTTCTTTGAAAAGTTGGATCATGGACCCACCATCTAAATAAGAGAAAATAGTTTTGCTTTTAGATTAGTTTTAAATTAGGGAAAATTATAATCGGAGCTGACTGTGTAGTTAAAATTAGGTTATAAGTTGGTCCATAAACCAACAAAACTCTGACAACTGGCTCTACATTTCAAATTATAAAAACCCTCACCATGTCATCAGACGCTTATGTGGTTGTTGCCAACATGAGACTTTTAATCAATGTTGGACACACCAAAAAGCTTATACTAAAATTGCCCTTTAATGTTGGGTGATTAGAAAATAAAAAAGGGTTTTTACTCTATCTCAATATCCCTCACACTCTCTCATTCACAGTCATATTTATTTGCTCAATGACTATGTAACTTGAAAATAAATAAAAATGGTTTTGGGTTTCTACATTTACATTCTCTATATCAATTTCTCTCATTCTCTCTCTACTTATCATTATCCCTCAATCTTTCTCATTATTTTTCTTGGTCGTTTTCCCTTATTTTCTACTGTTCTCCTGCTCCCCTCTCATTTTTTTTTTATTTTCTTACACACTTATATGGTATTACTCATATCATGTAAAAGAACATGAGACCAACTTGGTATGGTTCAAAAAGCATTAAACCACTTTGATAAAAAATCACAAGAAACTCTTGGCTATTAAATTTTCAATAACTGGAGAACAATAGAGATTGAGGGAGAAGGGGATATTGACCGAGAGAGAGAGTGAGGGAGAAGAATGAGAAAGATTGAGGAGGAACAATAGAGAGAGAGAGAGTGAGAAAGAGAGAGAGAGTTGGCTACAGACTAAAGCTGAGAGTGGGAGAGACAAAGGGAGTGGGAGATCGAGAGATGACTATGAGAGTGAGAGAAAAGGAAGGGAGATCGAGAGACAAAGGGAGTGGGAGAGAAAATGAAAACCTATTTTTGGTATAGGTTTTTTGTTGTATCCAACATGGACTAAGAATCTCATGTTCGCAATAGCCACATAAGCCTCCAATGACATGACATGGGTTTTTAAATTTGAAATATAGAGCCATTTGTTAGAGTTTCATTGGTTTTTGGACCAACCTGCAACTTAATTTGAAATGTACAACTAACTTTGATTATAATTTTCCCTTTAAATTATATATTTCATTTACACTATATAAAATATTATTTCTACTTATCACACTTAATTTTTGTTTATCTGTAGTATCATTTGACTCAAACCACTAACTCACTATCTAAAAATATAACTCACTATCTAAAAATAAAAATTGTTTGATCTCTAAGTTGATATTAAATTTTGTATTACATTTCCATCATTGATAAAATTATTTATCGTGTACAAAACTTATTTTTGTTCAATATAACGAATGCACAATATTAGAGATATACCTAATATTTTATTTTTTATAAATATATAACATTAGATATGTGCCCAAAATTTCCTCTATCTTTTTTTTTTAATTTTTGTGATTCTTTGTATTTTCTATTATTAAAAATTTATTATTTGACTATGACATCATTTAATTTCTAGGTAGATTTTGAATTTCACATTCCATTTTCATCATTAAAAAAAATACTTTTTTTATGTTTCATAGTTATTTATTTTAATTTTTTTATTATTTAATTATGGCATTATTTATTTATCCATTTGACCCCAAATGGTCAAATTGCTTGCCCACCACCGGGAGGGAAGAAAATGGTTTTGTTTTCAAAATATTTATTTCTATACTATTAAAATTAATATTGTGTATTTAATTACAAGAATTTAATGATAAGAAAAATATATCTTAAATATAGTATTTAATGAGTGAGAATAGGAAAATAGTTTTATTTTCAATTGGTTTTAAATTTTACATTCTATTTCCATCATTAATAAAAACATTTTTATTTATCATACTTATTATTGTTTAATATGTATGTTAAAAAATGTTCACAATTTTTTAACTTCTATTTGTTTCATTTTATCTATTTTTTAATTTTATTATTTAATCGTGGCAACATGGAACAACCCATTTGACCCAAAATGATTTAATTCCTTACCACTGCCAAGATGAAAACACTATTTTTGTAAGGTGGATTTTAAAAGTATAAGCTTTTATGTTAATGGAATTATTAATTTATTAAGTAAGGATTTAATTAATAGAACTTAATGATGAGAATAAACAAAAATTACTTAAATATATGATTCAATGGACATGAATGCAAGTTAATAACTTAAATGTTGGATTTAATGAGAGATAATTGAATGCATTAAACATCTTTAAATTATCTCTTTTCAACTCATTTAATGTCAATAAATGATTATCCTATTTGCCCTCATTTTTTATCAATAAATTTAAATATAGAGGGGTAAATTTTGTTCTTAGAAAATTGTAGAAATATTCTTAAGGCTATTTGTGCTTTTTAAAGTAGTATAGATGGTGTGGTTAATTAACATTAATTATCTATGAGAAAATAATTAATAAAAGGATTATTGGATAAAATCATAAAAATTAATAATGATTAAAAATAAAAGTAATAGAAAACATGAAAAGCATACAAATAAGAGAACTATTATTAATTATAAATAGTTAATGAAAAATCAATATAAAATTATTAAAAATAGTAAAAATTCAGTGTGGTTTTTCATCACAAATAAAAGTTCAGAGGAATATTTGTCACTAATCACATAGACCATAGTAAAATGGGGTCATTGTAGTTAAGCCTTTTTATAATGCGGGGTGATGGTGGAATAATCAACTATTGCTTGGGAGTTTTCTTTTTGGTACACACTATTGCTTGGGAGTTGGGATCACATCTTTATTATCTTTTGGAATAAGAAATGAATTTTCAATTACCACAAAAACTTAATATGAATGAATAAAAAAAAAAAAACTTAAGATGAGAGAATGAGATGTCAAAAGTGGTGGTTTTCTCATTCGTGTGATGATAATAGTATTAAAGACCTTTGTTTCAAGTAGAAAATGGCATATGTTAGGGTTAAAACCGTCATTTTACCACTTCTTTTTTGGTTGATAGCACGGGGTATTTTTACTAAAAACCAAAATTACAGAATAGGTTTGTAAAAATCCGTGAAAATATAAGGGATGTTTTTGTAAATGACCCTTTCTCTTTCCAGTGATGTGCTTGCATCCTGTAATACCCGGTGGCCGGTATCCCGTAGCGGTAGCAATACAAACAGTACAAGTTACAACCGAGAAAAACCTAAGGCACCAGATAGCCTGACAGAAATATCTAGTCATCTAT